AAAACAAAACAGGTAGCCCATCTGAATTAGGACATTTAGGCTATCCATCTAGTAGCCTACCAAAATCTTATTAACAGTAGAAGTTAAATTTTACTGTAGTCTTCAAATCTGGGTACTGTCTTACGTTTTAAAATCACAAAGGGAGTTTGGTCCCGTCAGGCTAACGTGACAGTCACGACTCGTGCAGCTTTAAGGTTTTCTGCTTCTTTTGTTTTTACTTGCGCTCTTTACAACACGCATTACATTACGTATTTCATGGCACACTCGTTTTATGCGTATTTGGCGCCACCTATTGTTGTGGGTGTATTATTGACATGTCAAAGTCTAGACCCTGAATATAAGACGACCGCGTTTTTTCAGATGTATTTCCAAGAAAAAAATATCGTCTTATATTCGGGACAATACGGTACTCATGTTACCTGGTTTCTCTGCAGGAGCTACCAGTAATCTGGATGCATAAAGGTTGACAAAATATTATTGTTGACAAGAGAACATCATTGTTTATATTCATATCATAAATAGGTGAAATCCTCCATAGGCTGCTCCTAGTGTCCCTTACAGTAGACTGTTCAATAGCTGGGTAAGACATATTATTGAGGGAGGTTTGCCTCAATAATCTCCTATTTTCCTGCTTATTAATAGTAAAGTAGTTGTTAAATTTAGGTATGGGGTAGGATTAAGGGATTTAGAATATTGTCATGCAGAATAAGACATTAATATGTGCTTTATAGGTACTAATAAACAGCCAGTATGCTAGTAATATGCATGCTAATAAGCAACTAGCTAATACTGAGAATTGGGCCTTTATAAGATTATATAAATTTATATAAAATCAATATACATTTGTGATCATGTTGCTTTCTAGAAAAACAGCATCTGATAATTCCTATACCAAATGTTATAAATACAGGGGCTTTTATTTCATTTCATTTAATTGCATTGCACTGCACTGCTTTTTAGTCCAGATCACTAGTAGATCCTGCGGAGTAACTAGATAACACTTGAGTGGTACATTTTATGACCATGTTCACAGTGAAACAGGCAATTCTCAGTTTACTCATTTTAAGTAATTATCGTGTTCAGTAATTATTGATTACCTACTAAGGAACCTCAGTCCTAAATAGGCTATTTTTTACTGTTTAGTCAATCCTGTTTCCATATGAGTAAATAGTAGTAGTGTTAATGTAGAACTACTTATTTGTCTTGCATGACATCCTGCATAGTATGGACATCCAATAGCACAATATCGAACTATTTCAATAGTGCAATAGCATAGTTACCATAGATATAATACTGTTTACAGCTGCCCCTGAAGCTGAAACCAAATCATGTAAATGTATTCTAATAAAATGATGAACATGTAATTGAGCATAATATGGACACTTTAATATATTAGCCACTGTGTAGTGAGAAAAGAGCTTGGATTGGTCAATTAAAAATCAGTTGCCACCGTGCATCACACAATCACATAATGGCACATGCCCCAGACTTTGCATGTTGTAAGGTAGGCACTTACCCAGTTTTGGCAAAGTTTGTCCAGTAGGTCATGACAACAGCACTGAGCATGACATCATTTTTGGAGAAGTTGCAGGGGAACAGGTCGGTCGGGCCAATCATGGGAATGCCAAAGACATAGGGCACCTCATCTCCGTGGGCCGCATCCGACCAAGCGGGCTTCATAAGGCTCTGGCAGTGGTGGTAGAAGGCGTAGAAGTACGTGGGCGACCCATACCGGGCGTGAAGATCTGCCGTCACCACCGAGGGCTCCACCCACTGATGATCAGTAAAAAGCGCCACCAGAGTCTTACGGCGTGTCTCAGGGTTGTCTCTATCTGCCCAGTCCGTGTACATGAACTTAATGGTTTCTCGTAGCGTATCCTTTCCCTCTGGGTAACCATAAAGACTGTCCACAAAGTCAGAGACCGAGAAGTCGAAATCATTGCCCGAGACACCATCTTCAGAGTCCACAACGTTCTCTACAAAACGCAGCCCCTCACCCTGGTTAACACCCAGCATAATGTCATAGTTGAGAAACTCGCCCTGCTCCATCAGGATCTCAGGGTCGTCGGGAATGACATCGCCGTCAATGACTGGGCCAAAGGCGACGTGGTATCTCGCTGGCTGGATGTCTTGTTCCACCAGCTCACGAGCGCTCTTCTTTCTCAGGCAATCTACCATGTCTAGTGTGTCCAGCACATTACAGCCCACTTTCTCTGCCAGCAGCCTTGTGTACTTAACCGGCTGGTAGTTGACGGCCCAGCTGGACAATGCTGAGCCACTCTGGATTATGGCACGATGAAACAGTCCTGCAGCAAGAGGAGAAAAAAACAATGCATTTTACACAATGCTTCACATCAGGAATAAATGAATATAAAGCAGGACTGGGAGTTTAATGTTTTCAGCATAGTTTGATTAAAGAGTTCTATTCAATTCTGTGCCTGATTTAGAGTAATGTAGTGTTATCATGAAAATATGAACATTAATGTCTTAATGTACCACATAATATGAAAAAAGCTGTAGATGGCCAAATGAACCACTTCCTTTTCTTTGCATTTTAAGTTAGCTTTCGCTAAGGAAGCTAATCGCTTAGTGTGTGTCCGAATATTACAACTTCCATACCATGTAGTGTGAGAAAACCGTACGGCAAAAGAGTAGTATGTCCGAATTCATAGTCTTTGAAAAACAGTAGGTGAAAAGTACCCAGATGATCTAGAGTACTACTTGTGGTGAGATTCTGGAGTGAACATTCAGTGGATACTTTACTATTCCATGAGGCCATGTAAGAGAAGCCGTGAATGGCAATGAAGCATCAAAACTGACGCTGGCAGGTCACATGAAAGTGACAATGTAGCAGCTGTAATGCGTCCGAATTTCATTCATACTACCCATATTCACACTATATAATTTTTTTTTTAATGGTCAAACATTAAGATTCCAAGCAAATGTAGTAGCTACTCAGTATGTGATTATACACGCAACATTAGTCTACAAGCTTAGTGCTAACAGCTTTGCTTGACAGCTTAGTACTAACTGATTACTTTGCTGAAACAGCTAAAACCAGCCTAAGCTGGTCTTACAGTAGGGAGGAGTGGGGTAAGTTGAGCCAGTGGGTAAGTTGACCCACCTCCTGTATCTTGGCAACTATACACTTTTACTGTCGTGTGAACCACCCGTAATTTCTGCCAGACTTTGAAAAAGAGAAACTCATGGGAGGAGTAGAAGGTACCAATTTGCTTTAAAAACTGTTTAGGCTTGTCAAAGTAAAATTTTAGCATAACAGATGTAATGGGTGTTACATCAAAATAAATGTATCCAGGTCTAAAATATTTATGATGCATACAGGTGATTTCGCAACATATAAAAACATTCAAATCATTTAGGTAAATATTAACCTGAATTGGTAAGCTAGAACATTCCAGCTATGGGGCAAAGTGAGCCAAATGCTGTGGGTTAAATTGAGCTAGCATTTTTAAAATACCCCACCATAAGGCACTGAAGTTAAGTTAAACATCTTAAGTATATATCTAAATCTATATATACGTATATATTTTACAGTTTTTTTATTTGCAAACTGATCACACTTGTAACATCGCTAGTCATTCTTTTAAAAACTGATCTCATGCTTTTATTACAATTATAACGTTTTCAATCAACATAATCATTGTTTCAAAACATAAGATTATTAGGCTATATTGAGAACATTTGATTTAATCACCAAAACACAATAGTATGATCTTCTTTCAATTTAGCACTTTTAACAATCAGTTAATTCAAGAGCAAACAATGAAAGATGCATGTTTCAAATTACCTGTGTTGCTGAAATAATTACACGCAATAATTGTTGTGTTAGAAAATAAACTTACATTACCTAACTTGCATAACTCACACAAAATCCATAATGTTTGTAAACGTATGTATCCATTGTGTTATCAAAAGGTGTGATGAAGATATGACATGGCCATAAGGTTTTGTGCTAGAACAGAGTTTACTGTCAGTGCAGTAAATGTCCTCACTGTGCCACATGACTGAATCTATACTCTGAACTTTTCAGATGAAAGGTGAGTTATAGTCAACACTTGACGGCTGCTCTGTCAATTCCTCGTCATCAGTTAGGAACCTAGGTGTGCTATTTGATAGCAATCTTTCCTTTGAAAGTCATGTTTCTAGCATTTGTAAAACCGCATTTTTCCATCTTAAAAATATATCTAAATTACGACCTTATCAATGTCAAATGCAGAAACGGTAATTCATGCATTCATGACCTCAAGGTTAGATTATTGTAATGCTTTATTGGGTGGTTGTTCTGCACGCTTAATAAACAAACTCCAGCTGGTCCAAAATGCAGCAGCTAGAGTTCTTACTAGAACCAGGAAGTATGACCATATTAGCCCGGTTCTGTCAACACTGCACTGGCTACCTATTAAACATCCTATAGATTTTAAAATCTTGCTAATTACTTATAAAACCCTGAATGGTTTAGCACCTCAGTATTTGAACGAGCTCTTGTTACATTATAGTCCTCCACGTCCGCCTGCGTTCTCAAAACTCTGGCCATTTGATAATACCTAGAATATCAAAATCAACTGCGGGCAGCAGATCCTTTTCCTATTTAGCGCCCAAACTCTGGAATAACCGACCTAACATTGTTCGGGAGGCAGACACACTCTGTCAGTTTCAACTAGATGAGCCCTAGAGGCAGATCCCCTGCGAAGACCTCGTCACCTAGATGGCCATCGGGACAAGACCACGAGAAGTCCTCTGCTCAATCTGACCTGTGTTGCAGCCTGAAATTAAACCACACACATCCTGGTTTTGTCTGGCCAGAAGAGAGCTGGCCAAAAGGTCTTCTCTCCATTTCTGTCACTGATGGAGTTTTGGTTCCTTGCCACTGTTGCCTTTGGCTTGCTTAGTTGGGGACGCTTAATTTCTGGCAATATTGTTGGCTTTATTCCAAAAACACTATTGGAAGAGTGTTTGGATGATGACATCTGGATGATGACATCACTGAATCATTGATGAACTGACTTTAACTGAAAAATTGACTGTTTGTCTTCTTGCATTATTGACAAACTATTTTCCTGTTTGACACTGTAAAGCTGCTTTGACACAATCTGTATTGTATAAAGCACAATATAAATAAAGGTGACTTGATTCTGGTAATGTGCAGTCTCTACCATTGTAATGCCTTTACATACAGTATCACATGGCATAATGTAATGTAAAATGCTGTATTTGATGCAATCTGTCTGCCTTCTTCTGATACATCTCTGATCAATCTCTGATCAGTTCCTCTCCCTTGTATCCTGCTGTATGTTCACAAATTGCAAAACACAGTTTTACAAATAAGGACGTCCTCAAAGGGAGGTTTTTGGTGATTTGTCAGGTTTTGCTCACTTCTGGGTACCAAATTGTCCCCAAAATATGTCTCCCACTAAGACAAGGATATCAGATATGGCCATCTTTGTGGGTACATTTTTGTCCCCATGACATAGGGTTTACCTGAACCATGCTGGTGTATCTTACCCACTGTCTCGGGTCAACTTACCCCTAACCTGGGGCAAAGTAAGCCACAGGAAAACTTTTAAGAAGCCATATTTTTAGAACCCTTTATACATAGATACATTCTGAAAATGTTAGATGATAGGAAACATCCTGATATTACTTTAGATACTTTCATTGTACTTCTGCCTCATTTTCCCTTATCTTGAGGACCACTTAAGTAAAAAATGGCCCATCTTACCCCACTCTCCCCTAACTGGTCTCCCAGTCTGACCAGCCGGAATGTGCCCTAAGTCTGTCTAAAAAGACTTAGGCTGGTTTTAGTTTTTTTTTTTTCCTTTTCAGCAGGGGATCTTGTTCTCCAACCACCACGTGTAGAAGTTACTACATGCAATCAGTATTTAATGTTAACATCTACTAATCAAACCATCTCCTTCTGTCTGAAAGCAAAGCAGGCTACTGCAGACAGGGTGTAGCAGGGTAACAGTTACCACTGCTACAAAAGAATAACTGGAAAGGCTGTTTTGATTAGCTAGAACAAGATACCCTGATTTACTTTTGATTAGGCATGACAAAAAGCTACCCCTTGCTAATCCCAAGGAGGACTGAATCTTTCACAACCATGAAACGATTAAACACACGTGGCTGCTGTGTATCAATGACCAACAGAGGTGACTTTTCACAACCAAATCAAACAGCATTAGTTTTTATTCTCTTCAGTGTCAGTGAAATCACTCACTATTCCATATATAGCACACTATGCATATTCACAATAAGGAATTAATGGATAAGTGAGCAAACTAGCTATGTATAGCACACCATGCAGGAATGAGTGAGGGATTTGAGCAAATGAGCAAATGTCTGTCCACCAATCAGATTTATTTTTGCTCTGTTGTATTCATGGTTAACATTTTATGGTGAAATAACATTAAAATGCAATAACAATGCATTTTGCTGAGCACACAATGCATAGGTCTTGAGAATGCATAAACTTGACACTGCACCTTAAAATGCAATGCTTATGGAGTAAGACACTTAACAAAAATTAAATAGCAAATGCTTTGAGTGTCTTGTTCATCATATTTATTTTCATATAAAAAGAACAGAACTGAAATTCTATCATGTTTATCAGCAACACAGCGCATGAGTGTGAATAATGCGATATCTGTCTTTGATCTCAAAGGTATCTGTTCTACTTCGAGAGCTTAGAACTGTCCGTCTTGACTGTGCTTATTTCACTCCTCCCTTCACTACATCCGCCTACACTCGCCGAAATTTCAGGCGAGGCTAGGCTCATCTCAATCGAGCCTATTGGTTTATTGTTTTTTTTTCATGTATTCTTTTGTTCTGCCTTCTGTTTGGTTCTTGCTCCACAGCTCATCTGTCATTGGTTGGATTGTGTCATGTGACCCCATTTGTTTGATATATATAGCCCTCATGTTTCATTGTCCATTGTCTAGCTTTGTTCGTCTAACCCGCTGTTGGTGAGTTGTGTTCATGTTTATTGTCCATTGTCTAGTTTTGTTCGTCTAACCCGCTGTTGGTGAGTTGTGTTCATGTTTTTGCCAAGCCAAGTCTTGTTCATTGTGTTTCTGCTCACTTTTGCACTTCATTAAAACTTCAGTGGACATTCATTACATGTGGAAATTGTGTGGAAATAAAAACAATATACCAAATTCCAAGGACACATTTTTCCATTTTTAATGATTTACATATCTGCCACAATAATGTCTTTGAATTATTTTCATTTATGGGCTTTTTCTAGCAAATACAGATATATGCATCTATGAATAGTTTGATAAATTAA